AAACTCTAGGGACCCCATGCCCTGGTTTCGGGTTTATAGGGTTGGGGCTTGCTGTGTGGGTCAGCGTGGTCGAGAGACAGTGCATTGCTTTCGTGGCTGTTGGGTTCAGCTCAGTGGGGCGATGGATTGCTTAAGTCATTTTTTTTGGACAGTTGGGAAAGGCATTTTTCGCAGCTACCAAAGAAAGCCTATAAAGCCTAAGCCCTCAACGGTTATGCTTGCGTACTCTGAGCGCCGTTCGACAACACTCTTTATTCGTAGGGCGCCTAGGTTCAGTTCTTGGCCAAGGCTCCTGAGCCCCGAGCTCTAAGACCTAAACGGCAATAAAGGATTATTGAGGCCTACTTGGCCGTTTCTATTCCGGGGGTTTCTTTTGGGCGGTCTCCGAGAGGATTCCAGAGAAGATCTTTGAGGTCTTACAACGCTGTTCTAGTCTTTAGGGTTTAGGGTTTAGGGTTTAGGGTTTAGGGTTTAGAGTATTGGGATCCCCTTCGCTTGATTCAAGGTGCCCTTCCAATCTCATCCCTGAAAACGTATACAAGAAGGTCCTCGAAGGGTATATTCTTACTCCCCAAACTGTGCGTCAATACTCCCGGGTTCAGGCGTGAAGAGTAAGAGGGGCTAGAAGGAGTGACGCGGCGCCCCCGGCCCAGTTTCGGCGTTTTTCTCGAAGAGTGCTCGTACTTGGGGACGACAATCGCGCTCTCTCGCCTGAGCGCGGGTGTGGCCGCTCTTGCTTTCCTCGAAACTGTCCTCGCTCTTCGACGTCCCTGTCCCCAAATGCAAAACTGTCCTTTTGGACTTTGGGGCTCGCATGGTCTTTCACTTTTTGGGGTCTGCAACTCCTAACCCTAAACCCTAAACCCTAAACCCTAGACCCTAGACCCTAGACCCTAGACCCTAACCCTAAACCCTAAACCCTAAACCCTAAACCCTAAACCCTAAACCCTAAACCCTAAACCCTAAACCCTAAACCCTAAACCCTAAACCCTAAACCCTAAACCCTAAACCTAAACCCTAAACCCTAAACCCTAAACCCTAAACCCTAAACCCTAAACCCTAAACCCTAAACCCTAAACCCTAAACCCTAAACCCTAAACCCTAAGCCCTCCTGTGAAAAATTGGACTCTGAAGGCCCAGCCCTGGGACCCTATTACCGCAAACCCTGGGCAGGACGAGCTGAGGCGACTTCGGGCATCCGTGAACGTGGGGCCGCCCTGGAGATGCCGTGTGTTTGGGGTATGAGGTTTAAGGGTTTAGGGTTCAAGGTTTAGGGTTTAGGGTCTTTAGGGTCAGAGTTGGGCGTTGATGCCTTAGGGTTTAAGGTTTAATGTTTCAAGGGAGTAAAGGTGATGCCTTTGACTACTGCTAACGCGGGGTACAAGAACAGTTCAGTTCAGCCATTCTAACTCCAAACACACCTGCATCCTGCCCCCTCTGAGTTTATGAGGAGAGTTGTGCCCTGAGTCCCGCACGCTGCCAAAATGCTAGGCCAGGCCAGTTTAGGATGTAGGTTGTGGTGTCTAAGCTTAAGGTTGAGGGTGCGGTTCAAGAGTCGTAAAGTTTGACCTTCTGTTCCCGGATCCTAGACCCCAAAGCCAAAACCCGAATCCCGAAACCCCAAACCCCAGACCCCAAACCCTAAGTCCTGAACCCTAAACCCCAAAGCCCAAACCCCAAACCCCGAGCCCTGAACCGACGGCTCCAGGCTTTGGCAATGCAGTGCAGCCAGATCAACGACCAGATCAACGCTGAGGCCTGGATGGGAGAGCTCCATTGGTTTACGTGTATAGAAGTGCTTAGCCAGGGGTTGAGGAGGCTTGTCCTTGCATTCAAGAACCCTAAGCCCTAAGCTAGCTGAACGTGAGCAACTCCATAAGGTCTAAGCTGCCAAGCCAAGTTCCATGCGGACACCCTGGCATCGGAAATCGGGGGCTGACGGTTTCGGGTTCTTTGGGTTTAGCGTATAAGGGTGTTGCGGCATCAAGGTATTCGGGCAGCAGGGTGGTAGGGTGTGCGGGTATCAGGGTATTCGGGTACCAGGCTATTGACTATCGGCGTTTGCGACTTTAGAGCATCAGGAGATCACCCAATCCCCTAATCAAATCTTGAAGCCCTCTATATTATAGGCCCAAAAAGGACTTAAACCCCTGAAGCCCTACACACCTAAAGCCCTTAAGACTTACAGCCCTTAGAACCCTTAGCACCCTAAACCCGAAACACCAAAGCTCTCAACGCCCGCGATGCCCCCCAAGAGCCGTTCGCAGGCTCTCGTTCGGTACGCTGCTTTCCGCCAGCAGCTGTTGCAACTTACGCAGGCCTAAACCCTAAACCCTAAACCCTAAACCCTAAACCCTAAACCCTAAACCCTAAACCCTAAACCCTAAACCCTAAACCCAGGCGTCTGGGATTTGTCTGGGGCTCTGGGCATGGATGTCAGGGCTTCGGGTTTAAGCCTTTTTTTTGGCTTTTGGGGGGTTTCTTGCGCCTTTAGGAGTCTTAAGGGGTGCTTTAGGGGGCATTTAGGGGGTTTAGGGTTTAGGGTTTAGGGTTTAGGGTTTGGTGGCTTTTGGACTTCGTTGTTGTGGAGGGCATTGTAAATCCGTGCCCTGGGAGGGTGGGTTGCTGGGCTTAGGGTTTAGGGTTTCGGGTTTCGGGTTTCGGGTTTCGGGCAAGTGGCGGGTTTCGGATTGGGTTTAGGGAGGTTTAGGGTTTAGGGTTCCGGTGTTTTGGGCTTTGGGGTGCGGGTTCGCTTGATGCAGATTCGTGAGACTCCCAAGGCTTCCCAAAACCGTCTCCAGCATGATGTGTCAACTACAAAATGCCTAGCTCAAACCCCCAAAATCCTAAACTCTAACCCTAAACCCTACCTAAACCCTAAACCTCCAAACCCTAAACCCTGCCTAAACCATACCCCGAAACCCTAAACCCTAAACCCTAAACCTAAACCCTAAACCCTAAACCCTAAACCCCTAAACCCCTAAACCCCTAAACCCTAAACCAGACAACTTCACCTCCCTTGAGCCGCTCTCGTCAGGCTCGCTTCAACGCCCAGCCTTTCAATTGAGGGCGCTGCTGACGCGAGGGACATGGGAGGGCCGACCCCAGCAAAGAGCCTCTTTTTTGGTGGCCAGTGGCTGGACCAGACCGGTTTAGGGTCAGGATTTAGCAGTTAGGAGAAGCCTTTTGAGGTACCTTACATCCCCCTATATACCCTTCAAGGGGCTATATAGGGTCCCTCACGTTGGGTTCTTGGGTTCAGCCTCTGCTGGGTGTCACTCCTCTGTCCCTCGACAAGCTGCTGCCCGCCGGAGTTCTGCCGGAGCCGGCGACTCAGCTTCCCGAAGCCCGAAACCCCAAACCCTTACACCCTGCAGCCCCCAAAAAACTGGGATCAAAAGAGAGAGAGAATGAGAGCGAGAGAGAGAGAGGCTCATACAAGCTGAGAGGAGCGCCAGACACACTGAAAGGAACGCCACTCAAACTGAAGGAGCGGCAGAAGACTACACGAGGGTCGCCCAAAAGACCCCGATCACCCAAAGGATATCGTTTCTTGTGATCAGCCTGTGCCACAAATGAGCATCATCATCATCATCATCAACGACAAATAATGTCACCAGAGTCGCAATCTCAAGCAGCAGAGTGAGAATCATCAGAGAGACGCTGGAATCTTGTCGTCCTTTTTTAGTCAGGCGGTTGGCGCTGGTAACCATGGATGTTGTTGTGTTCCCCATGCCCCAAACTCCAATCTTATCCCCTGAAAAGCCCCCTGGTAGAGATAGTTAGGGTCTATATTGCCGCTGTTGGTTTCTGGGGATACGAGCAGCAAAAGGAGCCTACCTTTTGCAGTCAAAGCGACTCAAATGTGTCAATAACAATAAAGCAGGCTCTAGATGACACCCTGCACTTAAGTAAACATGACACCTCTGCGTGCTTCTGATGCAAACTACCCAGCATACCCCCTGTGAATTATCTAGTAAAGGGATCGGAATATGTACTAATAGTATTCCCTTACGGTCCCTTTGTCGTACAATAACCCCAAAAACCCTAGTCTAATTATTCAGGCCACTAAGCCCGCAACCCTAAACCCGAAGCCCTAAACCCTCCCTCCAATAAGGACCCCAATAAGGAACCCCCCCCCCCCTCCCTAATCCCGTAAACCCTCTTCTTGCGCCCTAGACCCACCTGAGCAGCTCCTCAGTGCGCCCAGGTTGCTACGTTGAGCTGTGCAGGCTCCATCGCCGCATTGCCTGCCGAGACCTCGGCATCCGAGGTTCAGGGTTTAGGGTTTGGGGTTCAGGGGTCAGGGCTTTGGGGTTCAGGGTTTAGGGCTTGGGGTTCAGGGTTTAAGGGTGCGGAGACAGGCGGCGTTGATCAGGGCCAGAAGGCGTTGATCCACATTTCGGGGACCCGTTGGGCACTCCTCAACCCCACCACACAGAAACAGCTCGCAAGGCAGACCAGCCCCACGGCTCAGTGTCCTCATGAGCCGCCCTCATCTTCAGCCCATAAGCCCTCAACCCTGAACCCTAAAAAACTTCACAGGGCTCAGGCTGCGTGCCCAACGTCTTCCTCAGAAGCCAGAGACTCCAAAACCCCTTAATTAAGGAATATGCCCTAAATTTGAATAGGAACCCTCATATGATTTAAGGTATATTCCTTAATTAGGGGGGTTTTGGAGTGTCTGAGAAGCCCTTTGAACTCCCAAGAGCACCTGAAAGTCGGAGCTGCAGCTGTTTTGGGTCCCCGGCGCCGCGCCGTTAAAGCCGCTGCTGGGGCTTCACATGGGCTTAGGGGTTTAGGGTTCAGGGGGTTGGGTTTAGAGGGTTTTGGGGGGTTTACAGGGCTTAGAGGGTTTAGGGGGTCTGGAAGGGTTTCGAGGCTTTAGAGGGTTGAGGCGGTTTAGAGGGTCACAGGGTTTACAGGGTCTGCAGGGTTGGTCTTGGATTGTGGAGCCCGGTTAGATTGGCCAGACATCGGGGTAAGTTTCGGGAGCCGCCATGCCAGCAAGCCGACGCTTGAGTTCCTGGCTGCCACTCGTACTTCCGGTGCTTCTGGTGCTTCTGACTTCGAGCTCCAGTGCCTGGCTTGGGGTCGGCCGTCGCTTGCTGTTTGCCTCCGTGCTGTTGCCAGGGCCTGCACGAGCTGATGCCCCTGTTGGAGGCTACGACAGAGGAGCACCACGTGTGATGCAACCTCAGGTCAGATATCCCGAGTTCATTCGCATGGAAGGCCCCACGGGAGATTTCAGTATCAACATCCCAACAGCTTGGCGGGCTGAGTTCGAAAACAATCCCGGACGGCTCATCTACGCGGTTGAGAATACGGCAGGCTTCAACAGCGCCACACTTCAGGTTGCGCGCCTTTCCCTGTCCAGCTTTGTGCCGGATGCGAACAGCAAGACAAGCAATTGGCGGGATGCCCTTGGCAACACGACGGAAGCGAACATTGCTCAAGCCCTCATGGTTGTTGCTCAGCAAGGGCTCAGTTCGGAGAGAGAAGGCTATGCAAAGACAACGGTCCTTGAAACCGAGATCGAAGCACCGGAGCCCAATGCAGACGCAACATCACTGCTTTGGCGGGCGAAAGCCGCGGTCGAGGATTTCCGTCAAAGTCGCATCATCAGTGGCAGAGCCTTGCTGCGACAGGGCGTGGTGGTGTTCGCGGTGGCGACAGGATCCGAGCGCTTCGGTGCCGTGTCCGGCACCATTAGCCCAAGCGGCTTTGGCTGGGAGTTCAACAACCGCCTTGTTGGGAGCTTGCGCCTGAGGCGCCGCTAAAGCCGCTAGAGCGAAAGTGCGCGTGCTCTTTGGCTTCTGGTCTTGCCGACATGATAATGACCAGCATGAAGATGAGGATGATGAGGATGACGATGGCCATGATCATGGTCATGAGGATAACGATGGCGGCGATGATGATGGTGGTGACAATGACGATGACGACCATTTCGGCTACCATGATCGTGGTGATGATGTTGACGATGCTCATGGTGATGAGTATGATGAAGACGATGATCATGATGATAGCGACGACGGTGACGATGGTGGTGGGGATGGTATGACGGGGCCGACCATTAGCCAGGGATCGTACTTCTTGGCTACTGTATCTGGTAGGAGTTTCCTTCAAAGGAGTGTTTTCGTCCATTAGCTGGTTAGTTGGAGTCGCAGTTCATTCAGGGGCTCTTTGGGGTACCGACCAACAGGTCGACTGTTTACCATACCACCAGGGCAGGCGCCGGGAACCCTCCAAAGCCCAAACTTAGAAGATTCTTGAAAGAACCTGCCGCGACCTCATTGTTTGGTAGCCATGAAGCCTGAAACCCCAAGCCCATGTCAGGTTTTTCGGTGAGCCCTAAACCCTACACCCTAAACCCTAAACCCTAAACCCTAAACCCTAAACCCTAAACCCTAAACCCTAAACCCTAAACCCTAAACCCTAAACCCTAAACCCTAAACCCTAAACCCTAAACCCTAAACCCTAAACCCTAAACCCCTAAACCCTAAACCCTAAACCCTAAACCCTAAACCCTAAACCCTAAACCCTAAACCCTAAAAACCCTAAACCCTAAACCCTAAACCCTAAACCCTAAACCCTAAACCCTAAACCCTAAACCCTAACTTGAAGGGCTTTTGGGTGGGTTGATGGGCTTGGCCCTCCACCCCGGAGCCTCAAGGACCATAGAGGGTTGCGCCCCCCGGAATTTCCGTCTCCTGGTGTGCTGAAGCACCTTAACACCCCCAAACCGTCGTCGACTCAACTTTGGTCCTACACCCCCAATGCCCCGATCCCCCAAAGTGTGGTGTTTTGGGTTTAGGGCCCCCTAAACGCCCAAACCCCTGAATGCCGAAACGCCCAGGTTTCAGGTGCTAACACAGTCAGCCAGCACCGCAAATGCCGGCCATTGCGCAACAGTACCGGTCTTAGCATCTCTGGGGTGTGGAACTTTAGTTCAAACCCCGAACCGCTCAAGATTCCTGGTGGAAGCCCTAGTGCCCGAAAAGCCTGAATCCGCAAGCCCTCAACCCTCAACCCTAAACCCTTCCTTTCTTTTTGGGCGGGGGGGGAGGGGTCTCTTACAAGCCCCTTTTGGGCCACAATGGGCGCCCTGTTTGTTCCTATGAGTAGGGTAGGTGTCAGGTCTTCAGTCATGTAGGATGCCTAGTCTCTACATGAACCATTGTCTTCCGTATGGGTAGCCTACCCTTCTCTTCACCCCCCCCCCCCCTGCTCCTCCTCCCCGTGGCTGAGGTCAGGCGCGATGTTTCTGACGTTTCACAGTGCACCTCCGAGCGAAGTGGCCGACAAAGTGCAACGGCATGCTTGACAGCATCAATGATATAAAAGAGTCGCTGTTTGCGGGTGAGGGCAGAGCACCGCAGGGCTTGCCACAGAATATTTGGGTTTGAGTTTCGGGCTCTAGTGTTTTGTTGTGCAGGATGTCCCTCCGACTAGGCCCCCGTGCAGTGGTAAGACCGAAGTAGAATCGTCAACTGGAGCCGTGGTATAAGAAGTTCAGGCTCCGGGGCTCTGAATGTTAAGAACCAACTCAGAACCACACAATTTGAGGGTGCAGGGTTTAGGGTAGGCGACCCGGCATGGCATTTTTCCCCCCCCTTTGCAAGGCGTGGAGGGTGGAGGGTTGAGCTTCTGCGAAGAACTGTGGGAACTCCTGGCGTCTGCCTGAAACCACCTGCAGCCAGAGACGAACCGTTTACAAACTTTTTGTTGTGAGAGTCCTTGCTGGTGTTCAGCAGTGTTACACGATGCGGGCTGTGCCACCCTCCTAAAACCTGAAAACCCTAAAGCACCAACTGCCCTCAATGCCCTTGACGCCCTAAATGCCCCGAATGCCCTAAATCAACCGAAAGACCCCCCAAAACATCCCAAAATGCACCCTGAAAATAAAACCAGCAGACACCCTCTGAAGAATACCCCCTGAAGCCAGAGAAAAAGGAAGCAGAGAAAGAGACCTCTGAGGAGGGCCCGCGCCAGCCTGGGGGCTCTCACAGCTTTCGCGTGTCCCATCAGGGGTCAGAACAGTGACTTAGCCTCCATACAAAAAGAGGGCTGGGGCTCCCTCCCTGACGTTCCGCCACGCCGCCCCCCGGTGCCAGGATTTGGATTCTGAGTTGTTAAAAAAAAAAGCTGAGAGTTCAAACTCGAGGGCTCCTGAGGGGAGTTTCTTGAGGCACCTCTTTACCGGCTTCCGTCTTACACCTGGGAGACATCTCTGGGGCACCGGGGCCGAGATCACTTTGGCATCAGATGTGGGCACGCGCTCGTTCTTGTTCTGTGCAGGGAGAAAACTCCCTGAATTCCCCTGCTCGCCAAGGGGCGTCTTTGACGGAAAGGACTCCCCACCACCTTTGAGCTTCAGGTGAGTTCCTGGGCTCCATCCTGGGCTGTTGAAAAGGCGTAGAGCTCAGGGGTTTAGGGTTAAGGGTTTAGGGTTTAGGGTTTAGGGCTTAGCAGCAAGACTACGCAGCAACGCTGACTCACAAACAGGGGGCCTGCCGTCAGATCTGTCCTGCGCAGTGACCCCAAGGACCACATCTCGAGCTTGGCAGAAGGAGTGCCGGCTTAGGGTTTAGGGTTTAGGGTTTAGGGAGCATGGACGCCGAGGCCTGCCTTCTTATGATGAGGTTCCTGGGCAGCCGAGGCTAGAACTCAGAGTGGGGCCCTTTCTCTATTTCTTTCAAGGGGTTTGGGTTCCTTCAGAAGCCCCTTTCAACCCAACAGGGCACCCTTTTGGTTCCCAGATTACTCTTGGGGCCTCATAGAGATTGCTTTGCGGCTGGGATCTGTCTCGGCTTCTCCTCCTAAGATCGATTCAGGTCCTTGCAGGGTCAAGCCATCCCCCTCACGCCCGTGGTCAACATGGCACTTCGTTGGCGGGGAGCAGTTGGCCTAGGGCTGGATACGGCGCTTTGCTCGGTACCGGACCCCTGCTTCCTAGACCCTAAACCCTAGTTGAACCCGAAAGCCTGAACTCTCAGATGGTTCAGTGCATAAGCCTGAAAAGGCCCTTAGGGCCCCTGAAAGTCCTGAGTCGTCCCTGGGTTTTGTATACGGCTTGGGATCCTGTGACTATGCAAGCGTTTGGGGCTTACCCGAAACCCTAAACCCCAGACCCTAAACTCCCGGCCTAGACCACACCTAGCCCGAAGCCCTCAACTCAAAGCACCCAAACCCTTCCAGCTGCAGCAGAGGGCTTTAGGGTTGAGGACTCATGGAGTCGAGGGTTTGGGGGTTTAGGGGCATGGGGTTTCAGAGGGCTTTAGGTTCAGCAGGGCTATAGCGTTTAGGGGCTTTATGGCTTCAGGGCATTTCAGGGCTCAGGGCCGCGAAAAGCAAGGCGCCTAGGGGAGACATTGTAACGCGAGGTACAGGGGTTGTTGCTCTACCGACCTGTTCTCAGAGGCTGTGCACACCTTGGTGCACCCAAAGTGACAGCACCCATGACATCAGTCAGCCAGGATTCCCCCGCCCAAAAACGTCACCAAAGCCCCCGACACTCCGGTCCCTAACATCCCGTCCCTAACAGTGGGCTGGAGATGGATTGCAGCATCTCAGCTGTCAATGGTTTAGGGTTTAGGGGTCGGGTTCAGTTGTTACACCCAGATTGAGCTGCCCGTCCTCTACACCTTGAACCCCAACATACTAACCCTTGGACTCTCAACCCGGTGTGTGTTCGACATCCAGGGTGTGCACCAGGTGTATGGCAGCCTCTTGATAAATATTAAGAAAACAGCACACATTCCTCAGAGAAACTGCTCGAGCGCTGCCCCCTCTGTCCAAGGGTTCGGGGGGAATCTCTACTAGGCCCTGGTTTAGGGTGCCAACCCCCTTGTCGGACAGCAGGTAGGACCCAGAATGGAAAAAATCCCCTCTTCTTCGGATCTAGGGTTCAGGGTTGGGATGTTCCCCCCTATTCGAACAGTCCTTCAGAGGGGCTATAGGCACAAGGGGGAACATCCCAAAATCAGGGTGTGTTGAAGCCCTGGCCAAGAATGGAAGGCAGGCGCTGGGTGACCCTAAACCCTAAACCCTAAACCCTAGACCCTAGACCCTAAGCCCTAAGCCCTAAGCCCTAAACCTATCAACCCAAGCCCTATAAGCCTGTAGACGCACTGCCGCCCGAGTTGCTGGTCCCTAAACCCTAAACCGAGGTTTAAGGCAGGAGCTTAGATTGCAGGACTTGCGGGCTTGTGCCGAAGCAGCTCTGACCACTTTCAGTTCAGCATACCTCGTCGGCCCCAGCGCGCCGAGCGGCTAAGAAGCTTCTAGGGTTTCCAGGGTTCCTACGTGGCCCGAAGCCCGAGTTCCCTGAGACCCCTTAAGCACTAGGGAGTTGCTCGTGCTGCCGGGTCCTGACGAATGCAATTCCAATCGCGGCCGAGCAGTGTCGTTCTCCAGCAGCGCCGCCCAAAAAGAGTTAGGGTTTAGGGTTTAGGGTTTTGGGCTTGAGGGCTACGGGGGTTGCAGAGAGGTTTTGGGCCAGAACCCAAGGGGTACAACCTTAAGGGTCCAGGCAAGACCCCAGAGACTCCAAACCCTAACCCTCCCCGGCTCCCCCCGCCAAGACAGATTTGTCATGCGGATGTGTGTCCAGACGCCCTTTGTCTTGTCAAACTTCGGCACCCTAGTGGCCTTAGTGCCAAACAAAGGCTGTAGTTGAGGGTTTAGGGTTTACTCTGTCGGGTTTAGGGTCTAAGTTTCTGTGCGCTTCTATTGGCAACGGCTACAGGTCTTGTGATTAGAAGAAGCTCCTTGCCTTGTG